ATATATATATCCTAGATAATATACCTTTATAATAAGAGTCACCGTGTTAGCGACATCGTTTACCACAACAACAAAACACTACATTCACCTCAGCTGCAGATTCGAGAAATTAAATAAAATATGTTTAGGAAATAATAAAATATCACATGGAAATAAATATTCGCGGGAAAGTAATATTTCAATTATAACACCTCAATCACAATTAGAATATCAAGATAAGAGTAGGTCAACAATGATACTAATATCAAAATAAAGTTATAGTGTATATTAAATTAATGACTAGAAAGACGTTTGGTGCAAGGAAACCCTTTACCGCCAACCCTCTCGAATGTTGTAATGCCACCGCGGAGAGGTTAACAAACATAAAAGTATGTAATGAAAAGATTACACTTAGTTTTTCAAAAGAACCCTGCAGTTAAGTGCAGCGCAGCTGCGGTACCATGCAAACTTCTATATTATATTCAACTTAATACAAAGTTGAGAAAACCCGGTAAGATTTCGTGTATGCAATGTTCACTCAACTACACATGCTACTCTTAACTACTCACTTGCTAAACGCACCTAGCTTCCATTCTAACTTCTCAAACACCTGCTTACCATTGCACAAACGCATCACCGACATTTACCTCAACATTTACTCAACTGTTCAGCACTTCCCCTTTCTAACCTGTTTATCAGGCCGATCTCTGCGCATACTCAGCAGACGGCATTCAATGACGTCGCATGCAATGTTATGACACAAAAACGACCTTGACGATCTAATATGAGAATTATGATGGTTAAAATTCCCGGATAAAATGTTTTAGAGCGCTGGCATATGCTAAATGTACTGGCGATTCCACTTGATCAAACGAAACTTTTCTTACGTTAATTGCCAAATCTCTCAGGGTATATATATTGGAAAATTATATTTCCTGATTTGAATATCGCAAAGACAGCGAATGTTACTGGCAAATATACATAAAGTATTACATGTTATACCTTTTATATATTTGTACCTATACCAGAGTTACTATGTATTTACAATATTATGTTATTATACCTGATAATGATAAAGCAGATTGATTACTATTACCTCTAGTAAATGGTATAATTACCTATAGTGGCTAACAGTTAGGCTTATCATAATTTTTCACACGATTCTAATGTTATTCTGAGACATAAACGCTTCGATGTACACAGATACATCGGCACAAGTTGTAATCATACTGATACCTCATCTTTACATTGCACATGGTCCAAACTATTCTGCAGTGACATATAATATCACGAATACTGGAACTGTAAACCGAAGCTATGCGTGTATTTATAAATATATAAAGGAAAACAGTTAAAACATCCAAATCAACAGAATACCAATATAACAGACGACATTCCATGCACCATGACTAGACGTCGGTTGACAGGATGAATACTGCAACTCCGACATAACAATAAAGTTTTTCTATACACTTAAACATCAAATATAGATTATATGATTCTTACTGAACCTATGGTTTAGGTCACTCACACTTTAGTGCTATCCTTCACATCCATAATTGAAATATTTAAGGCTGGATACCGCACGACTTAAACGCCTAGTCCAGAAAGTCATAGCTGTCTTTCAGTCTGCTTACTTCTTACTCACAACATTTATGCACGCTGTTTGCAAATTGCTGTGTTTGCACATGTTCGGTTAGAGGAGCCATTCCACCAGTTATAAGTACACCTACTGCCTTTGAGGAGGTTTCCTCTTAAACATGGGCAGTGGTATATCATGTCGTACAAGCAATCACCATCACGTGCACCTGTTTGTGTTCTCTCCTTGCAAACAACGTCATGCATTAAACTTATCCTGGTCACTGACAATTATACACTCGTCCGACTACAAGTGCATAACTTCAAGTGCTTCGCTAATAATTTCACGTACATAGCATACACATGGCGAAAACGCACTACCTACTAATTAGGGATATTATAAGCATGTTCCTAAGTCTACTTACGATTCCTATCGTACATATTTAACACTAAACAATCACATCATGCGTTTTTACTACACAGCATTACATATTTTTGGAAATCAAAACTAGACAATATGCTACGCCAACAACATCTAAATCGAGAGTTGTGTATAAACGTGTATACACAACATCTAAATGTGAAGATTGTATGTAACAGACCTACAATGGCTGCGTATATGCACCATCACTGCGTTATGTGACATACTCGCATATGCACCACGCATCATATTAGCACTTCTTGGGTTTTTTTAATTTTCGGTAACTGGAAGCAACCATGCCAATAGGATAAGTACTACATGTACTTTAAAGCCTTGAGAAGATTGTAAGAAATTCTTCACAAACCTTGGCACAGTGCTAACGCTGATGGAGCAATCAATAACTGCTTATATAATTCTACTTACCTACTTCTACAAAAACATGCCAACCCCAGATTATTGCAAATCCTAATGCACATACATCCGGTAAGTTGCGTAACTCATAGTATGACTAGCAATAGAATGGTACTGGACTCGTAGATCTGGTGTGTATCTAACCTAGGGAGTGAACTGCGATATACAAATTACTCAGTTAGCAGTCTTATACGTAAAGTCAGTCACAGATGGCTGAAAGATTAACCACCTACCACAGACGATAGCCACCATAATAGCAAACTGGCCTTTGTATAGTGCTCATAACTCATATAACATGTTATTGCAAACAAATATAGGAATATTACATATTTATCTACATGTTGTAATATGCTACAGATTGTAATAGTTATTGGATAGTATGATGGCGTTTATAAATCAGTGTAATATTGCGTGTTCGGAATGTCAATTAATTCCATCACTTACAGAATTTCTACACATGTGCCGCCTACTTTAAGAGTATTTATTTCCTTTACAAGCCTGACTTGTCAACCAGATTCTAAACCCAATTACACATCCAGGTTGCTACAAGCATTTTTTTCCATTCAGTATAATAATTTTTTATCCGTTATAGTATCTTGTATTAGACCACATTTAACCTTCTAACTAAATCGGGTAACTGAGGGTGACGATAATGGCACATTAATTCTGTACATAATCCAGATCTTTGATGAATGCATTTGGAAATGAAGCACTCTATGACGTGTCAGTTCTTTGAATAATCCAGATCTAGGGTCAATTATTTTTGAAAAATACACGCACTACCTAGTATTAAATAGGTTGACAACAATTCATTAGAGAATGTCATTTACCTTGGTAATTTTACTACAGAGTATACTAAATTTCTAGATTGTTAAATATTGCATTAGAATAAACAGCCATAGTTTAGCAAGCTAATTATACTGCTAGACACAATGTTTCCATTTCAGGTCTAATCAGCAAAGTGGAATTATAGACTAGGAATGGATAATTGCATAATAAGAGTATCTCAACACACTGGGAATGATTAATACGTGTACATATAATTAAAGGAGATAGAGGGTTGATCCGACTTTGTGCACATCAGCTTTTTAGCTTATTAATTCATACATTAGTTTTTTCTCAAGCTGTGTTTTCCCTAATCACACCACACCCTTGAACTAATAGCAAGTAGAAATAATGCACTAAATAGGTGTAACGTCATGTAAGCAAAGCACTCTATGATGCTATGCTATGAAGGCTATCATAATGATTTTCCAGTGCTGATACTATGATTAAACTTGATATCAGCATCTTCACACATCCGAGGATGTAACTGCTCATGGCATTTTCTCGCTCCATCGTTTACCTAAGCCTACAAGCACGCAAAAACCCCAACCAAAACGGTGATTCGTCAACACCCTGCCGACATTATGACCGACCGACCTACCACTTAAGGGTTGCAGGTTGTTTCCACGACGACGGTGCCTCCAGGTGGCTTATAGCAAGCTGGTGGAGTTTGGTAGGTCGACGATGACGCGAACGTAGGTGACAGGGAAGAAGCCGGTGCGACCTGCCATCGTTCCCTCGAACCAGTTCTCGTCAATACGCTCGATTAGGTAGATGATTTCGCCTTCTTTGAATTGCAACTCACCCTCGTTCTCCGCATCAAAGTCGTACAGCGCCTCGCAGCAGGGCTGCGCAGGCTTCGGTGAGGCTGCAAGCGAGATTGTAATTGCAAGTAGATTACAAGTGGGTCGTAAGCCGGGTATAATACCGAAGGGCTCAAGAAGATGCACAGTGAGTAGTCTGTGGACTGATCTCTCATTGATCATGGAATGTGCAAGTATTGACAAGCAAGGTTGACAGTGTGACTGTACAAGTCTCTGACACACAGTTTATATAATAACATAACATGAACATAATAAATAATCTTCTCGATAAATAATCTATATGAAATCATCTGTCTATAGCATTAAAGTTGACATGCATGCCTCAGCCTGACTGCATTCTAAGTAAACAAACAAAAGAATTTCGTAATCTATTGAAACGTTTTGCAAAGGTCTAACACCGGCAAAGTCAAGATTTGGTTCTAAACTGCCTAAATAGATTATGATTATCAACACTAAACATGATTAATAATCAAACAGAATAAACAAACACGCCTGGTTATCTAACATCCAAGCTGCAATAAGTGGAAAAATACAGCAACAGGACAGCTACCAGGTGGTGGCCATCGCCGTCAGTCTGCATTACCTGACACTGGAATGTGGGGGCTTGATTCAGTCGGCCAAGCTGACTGAGTATTAGCGGAATTAAAGCTGTCATCTCCCGGCCAGGCGTTGTCATTGAACAGCAGGTGAGGGCTCTTCGACCGGTTGCTCTTGTCAGTATTATTCAAAATGGTGGCCTTATCTTTATCATCGTAGGTCTCGGTCTTGTTGATCGACAGGTTGCTCGAGGCTCTGGGCACTACATGCACAGAGGGCTCCTGCCTCGGCTTGTTCTCTGCCTCTCTCTTCCTACATTAGCAGAAAAAAAGCTGTTAACTTGCATAGCAACAGAACTTGGCATGACGTGACAAGCATGACCACATGCCGTGGTCGCGTGCAGTGGCAGATTGCATTCACTAAATTTACACGACAGTAAGTAAAAAGGTAACAGTCAAATAAATTATCTAGTTACTAACATCTACCAGCCATTGCTGAAACATAATGACTTCATATAAGTATACAATGACATGCTAGTTCGGTTTTATTTACCAAAGGCAAACTTGGCGAGTGATAACGTGATGTTACCCAAAACTATATGAACACGGCCGTTTGTTTAAGAAGATCTCAACTACATCATCATGGCACAGTCCTCTCAACAACTACATCATCATGGCACAGTCCTCTCAACAACTACATCATCATGGCACAGTCCTCTCAACAACTTCAACAACAGATATAAACTACTGTAATGAACCATCTGTATGATTGTGAAATCAGTGACGACTTTTCTTGTCTCAAAAGTGGCATGTATACACCCAGTGCAAGATAATGCATGCAAACTTAATATGATACAGTTATCATTGCATCTCTTTGACATATATGACATACTTCTCTTCCAGCACACCAACTAAGACTTCAATGACGTCCAATGACTGCTTGAAATACTCCCTTTGTGCTTCTGCTAGAGCAGTCACTTGAACTATCTGTTCCACCTGAGAGATAAATGGCCAGACATTATTTATTGAACATCAGATAGTTCTTCCTGGTAACTGAATGCCCATTAGGGTTAGGGCATTAAAGTAATTATTTCAAAGAGACTTTCTGACCGTTCTCGTATTTTACTAACGACTACAATACATACTGACCAGTACTGATTGCATAACAGCAAGTACCTAAGGTAAGGCCAACATATCCTAGAACACTTGTATGTCATTATTTATACAAAAATATTCAACGATTGAAATGTTTGTTTACATCGTGTTGCCACGGTTACTTGATAATGCTACTTGTTTGTCGTGAGACCCTGGTCCCTATACTTTGACATAGTAACTAGAATTAAGCAATACAGATGTTGTACCAGTCTTGAATCACTATGTCACTCAATGAGATGCACTTTTGTCTGGGTTGCTGATTTCAAGGAAATTAATTTCATTCAAAGGAATTCATAAACTCATGGTAATTTTTATACTGGAGTAATCAGTAACATGTTTGCAATTAGGTGAGACAATATTTCGCTATATTTTCTCGAATGTTCAGTTATTAATGAAATCCTTTCTTTAAACATTGCTCACTGGTCACAGCACTGCTCATTCCTGATTTTGGGTGCATATATATACACACTACAGCCTTATCAGCTACAACTCTATTTATCATGCTGCAAATTTATAAGAATATAACATCGCATGAAAACCACTTCATGCGAATCAGAAAGCTGCATGCTCTTTCGCTGGTCACTGCTCTGCAGTAGCTGCAGATACAAGTATTTATCATGTTTTTAGGTAATTCCCACTACATACCTAATTGTGATGACTGAACATTTGTCAGTGAGATGTCATAACTCACACAACTTTCAACCAGATTAGATGACATTTCAAATGTGTGCAATGACTTAATGGTGAATACAGTACATTTCACTGCAAGAAAGCTTCATTTTGTGTTTCATCTGATGTTTATGGAGAGGGGAGATAGTATGTTTGGTTTCACTGAGCAAAAACTTTTTAGCTAGGCTAGGCTAGACTGTTTCATGCAGTGATGAATCAACTTTATATTAAGTCAATAGACCCATGTTGCTGCCTTACCTCACTGTCCAGGAGATTCATCATGGCTGCCTCAGACAGATTCCAGGATTCCTCAAACTTCTCCCCTGCCACACGCATCTCGTCATCTGTCATGTGGGAGCCTGTTAAAGAACAAAACCAGGGTTTATTGAGGCTATTAAGTCTTATTAGCTCTGGTATGAGGGTGACACGATTTCCTGACATTGGCCACATCTTCTTGTCTGCGAAATTTATGGGCAATAACTATATTTATTATACTAAATAACGAATTACAACGTATGTGCGAGAAAATGTTATGATGATACAGCCACGGTTGTATTGACCATATTCACGATTTCACCCATGGGAAATATAGTCTTATCACTATGACACATGATGTACCAAGGTGCAACAATTTTCTTACATTTGCCAATGCTAACGCCCTCTATCGCAAGGGAAATATGATCACAAGATGGAGATACATGCAAGAGCTATAATAGTACCTTATTAGCACTTTATAAGTTGGGTATTATTAGCTCTTTATAATAACACATAGTCATGCAGTAATCTTGCACACAGAGGATAAAGAACCATGGTTACAGAGTATTCTGCATCACTGAATCTCACGTTATGAAAATTCACCCACGAATATGAAATTTTTAAGTTATGACCTACTAAACATGAGATACAGAAATTTGCCCATACCTAATTTTTCATAGGATTGAGCAAAGTTATTTTAGGCAACAGATCTGTGTGAAAGTGCTAAACTGCTATCAATACAATCATTGTAATTAATACATATGCAGCCAGCTGCCAACAAGTAAAGCAGGCCAGCTTTGAAATGTCCTGCTAGCCTATTAGACAGCTTCCCTCCCTATGCACAAACACATACATGTGCAGTGCGTGTTGAATATGCGTGTTCCTGGAATTGGTAACCTGCATTTAGTCAACTACAGGAACATGACACTAATTTGTATTCTGAACTTCCTTTCCTTCTCAGTATTAGGACTTTACCATGTTACATCACTACATTTAATCAATATTATGCATTTGACTGTTTGACTGTTGACTGTTTATTGAAGTTCGTAATTGTTTTTGTATAAAAATAATCATCTCTCAAATAAATGGGGGAAAAAACATGTAGACAAATTAACTCTCACCTGTTATTGAACATATCATTGATTACTTTGTGTTAACATTAGGTTATGAAACAGCAAACTTGTGCCTGCATTCTTGAGATTTGCAAAAATGAAATATGAAAATGCTGCCATGAAAAAAGGTACATGTTTAAGTGACGTGACTTGGTCTAGACTGGTACCTATCTTCTCTTGCAGGCAAAGGTAACAGTGTAGAGATAGGGTACACATCCATACTCATAGCATCTCACAAGAGCGACAATCACGCTAGTGATGTTGACATATATGTAAACAAATCTAATTTGAAATGGACGTCAGTGCTAATATTGATGAAAATAATGATATGCGAGTGTACTAAGACATGTTAGCCTTACAATATACACTTGGTGTTATGCAAGAAGTACCAGCAAGTATCAGAACACTCTAGAAAATACGAAAACGGTTGGGAAAATGTGAAATTCTTGCGTTAAGGAAGACTGTGGATTACATACTTACTTTGTCCAAAAAAAATTTTGTAGGAACATACAACTTCGATTACATAATGTAAGTTAATGGGGGGGGGGGAAATCATTCACGTTACGGAAATTCGCAATGTGGATGTTTCACCTGAAATGCAATACTGCTTGAATAAATAAATTACGGCTATATGTTTCCAAGTTTATGCTACAGTAACGTACCTCCCCTCTTCTTCCTTTTCTTGCAGTCATAATCTAACCGGCGTCCTTCTAGCTTCTTTCTGTGATGCTAGAATAGAACAACCCCAATTTCTGTGTACAATGTAAAATGCACTCTGCGATTGCAAAGAGGGAACCTAGACTGCATGGGGATATGTTCTACAGTTCATTACATCAGGTAATAAAAACAACAATGAAACAAAATAGTACCATGACTTCTTTCAGTTCCTTGTTTTGTAATGAATGAAGTGGTTCCAGAAAATTCTGTTTCACGTTGTCCTCGAGTGCATACTTAATGTCAGCCAGCTGTTTCATGGCTTCTCCCATCTCACATAATGCCTGACCTATTAGGTAGATAAAAAAAATAACTCACATCAATGTGCATATATATAATAACCCTAATTAAAACATAAATATAGTAAAGACTTGCTCGATAACTACAGTGGTTAATACTTAATACTGATCATATGGTATCCTAACTAACACACACAAATGGAAACCAGTATTTCTTCCAATTATTTACCTATCACCATGGTGATGTCTACAACACTAAAGTAATATTTTTCACCAGAATGTCTTAGAATATCACCAGAAAAGTATCTTTGTGCGTACCAAAGGAAGAGTCGTCACCGAGATCTTTGCCATACTTTATCATTGCATCTCCCAGCGTGCCTTCAGGCTGAGGATACGGCATGTACTTAGAAGATCCTCTGATCTTTGAGAAGGAGCTCATAGCCGACATCTTAGCTCTTGAAGCTGTAATGGATTGAAATTGATCAATTTAAGAAAGTGAAAAAAATGTAAAGAAATTTCCAAGTGTCAAATATAGATCATAGAGAGGAGAAGTGACCCTCTGTGGAAGGAGCAATCAGAACCCTTTTTTCTATCTGCTATACTCCATGACACTGGAATCATAAAACCATGTTCAAGTGAAAAGCTCGCAAATTTTTATATGAACTGTTTTTCATTTTAAAGACACAGCACCCAACTCAGAAGTACACGTACAGTTAACAGCGGTGGCAAAGTTCCACAGCACATTTGCTAACACATTCATTCAACATGCATTAAATTACACTATGGCTGGTCAAAAATCTTTTTGTTGTAATAATATAACCTGTTAATAAGAATTGAGTGGGGTGGTAGATAAGCAATTTTTTTTCTCATCTTGAAGTTTTGACAAAAAATATATGGAAAAGCTGTAAAGGAAAATATTGTTGAGTTTCAATGTCTTCAATGAGTACATTTGTTACTACACAAAATTTGAGAAAGGTGACTAAAAGATAAAAACCACTGTCCTCGATAACATGTTTACTGGGTCAGTTGGGTTATTGCAAGCAGGCAATATTTTGGACCAGTCTGACACATGCTGTTGCACAGCTTGAGAAGCAGCAGACAGAATTAGTCATGAATCATGCATCACTGTAATATAGTTAGGTGTGGCAGCTGTATACTGCAGGAAAAATTAAAGCCACACATACCTGGGTTTGGCTGCAAGTACTCCTTGGTTTTGATTTGCAGCTCCTCAACAAGCTCATTTGTGACATCAGTTTTCTACAAATTACCAAAAATATTACATGGCAATGAAACAGCTTGGAGCTTTCCTGCATGAATGAATATTACTATTATAGATTATTACTACCATCAATATACTACCAATAAAAATCCGAAGTAATACAAACTGGCTTATTTCGTGAACTCCTCCTATTCAGCTAATCTAATAACAAAAATCCATGTTTTTTAAAAGAAGTAAATTTTCCACAAGATATAACTTTGTTTCAATATATTAAACATACATTGCAAAACAATACAATACAGAGACTCCCCGACTTACGAACATTTGAGTTACGAACTTTCGATGATACGAACAATTTGCCTTGAAGTCCATTAGTGTATAATGTCAGTATTGGTGAATAAAAAGACACAATCGCCCCCTGATTTTGACTTTCGCCAACTCCTGTGTTCACGTATATGTTTACACTATGTACACTTATAGGTTACTCAATGTTCACACGTACATATACGACACTACTGTACAATACTGTATACGTACGTACATATGTTCGACTTACGAACAAATTGACATACGAACGACCGCTCGGAACCGAACCTGTTCGTAAGTCGGGGAGTCTCTGTACTGTTTCCTGTACTTTTTCGTGCAAAAATGAATGTTTCTGCCATAATATCCATATATATAAATACTTTTAAAACCCCGATATATTTCAAGAAAGGCAACTGTAATTATAAGGTAAGCCTTGTTTGAAGTAGTAACCACAAAATTTTGGATTTTTATCAGGAATTTTTGGTAACCTTCAAAATAGCACGAATACATGATTTTACAGTTATAGATTATTATTGCTGATACACATCAATTGGTTACTAACTATGACAATGACAGAACATTGATATCAGAAGTGAATAAAAACAAACATTTTTTTATTTACTCCTGATGATATGAACATATACTTGTATAGTGGCAAAATTATCAAAATTATTACCTGGTTGCGAGGGGAACATTGAATTTCTTGACATACATAATCATGTGAACCCTCACACGCTCGCACACCCGCAGACACGCACGCACGCACGCACGCACGCACGCACGCACGCACGCACGTGCACACATACAATAACAGCCTAGAGAGACACACTCAAATCTATGACATTCGGAAAACCTAAGGCTCTCTCCAAGTTAAGTAGTAAAAAAATTGCAATTAAATCTATTGGTGACATTATTACAGGGTTCGGCAAGATATCCTGCAGTACAGACAGTTTTTTTAATCACATTTTGGGTGTCTTACTATCTTTAAGTTTTACCCGATATGATATCCTGTCTTTGTCCACTGGTTCAAATATTCTTTTGCTTCAAATTATGACAGCTACCAGTGAAGAGAAACATTGTGCTAGGTTGCACCACTGTTCAAAAGGCAACATTGATTTTCTATGGGCAACTTAAAAAAATTCATTTGATGACACGTAACATAGCCTGTGCCAATCACAATGCAGTATTTTTTATATCACATATATATATATGGTGAATGACTAAAACTTTAAACACTTAAAATTAATATATTATCTCTTTAATGTGCATACCAGTAAAAAGCCAATAAGGATAGAATATTTAACACACTGGGTTTCAGATCTTACCTTTTCTAATTCCAAAAAATCTTCATCTAATTTTGTAGCTTCAGCCCCACCAATCTTTTCACTCATATACTGAAATCAAAATAGGTTGACATGAATAGATGATACACAGTAGAATAGATGATACACAGTAGAATATAGTGATGAGAAAGAGCTGGAATTTTATAATCGATTACGAGTTCAACTCAACCAATCTATAATGGATTATAAATTAATCGGTTAATGATCATAGTGAATGCATGACCTTATTTTATCTGACCTAAAATTAAGCAACTTTGCCCATTTCTATAGTATTGTTTCATGTGTATATCCCTTTGGCAAAAAATAAAGCTTCAAAATAAACAGATAAAAGTTTGTGGCTTCTTGCTTCATTGATATATTTTGAGTTTTTTATAAATTTGCTATATATGCTTTAATTTTTAATGGGGTTCCACTATTTTTAACAGGGTGAAAATACTAACATATTATTTTTACCAATTTGTTAATAGATACATATATATATACACATTTGTAAACATCTGTTGTTATATCTCATTGAACAAAATTGTCAAGAAATAGGCCTACTTGCCGTTGTTGGGACAAATCGAACATTTTATTTTATTTTAAAAGAATAAAAATTTAAGCAATTATTTTAAAAAGAATTACTGACCATTCTCATATCTGCCTAACTTTTCCGATAACTACTGTTATTGCTTGAATGATAGAAACTTTCTAGAGCATGTATTAGAACTTTCATACTTCACTATATTCACCAAAACGTCCATGATTTTAATTTTGATCACTTGTTTTGATTTCTGCTGCCATTTCTTGCGGCTCTCGGACTTTCTCGAGATAATCGTTTTCACTACACAGTATCAAGGAACCAGTGTACAGAATCAGATGCCCTTTTGTTTGAAATAGGCACACCTATTTAAAAGGAGCCATAATTTGCAAATTAATTGTTATGTTTATAGACTAGTTAAAGATTAGATGTATCAAAACGTGATTTTATTGATATTCAGTTGAAATGCTCCTTGCCATGGGCGCAGTCACCTTTTCCCTCTAGTTCCAGCTCTCACCACCCCAGTAGTCAGCGCCACACAACTATCGTCAACACTACATCCCTTTCATCCTTGGATGAATGACAGTCTAACTTTTAAGACTTCTGACTGTAACTTGGGATATGCCCGGTGATGATCTAAGAATTCGAATTAGGTAGAAGTTACACAGTCTGTAACGCGAAGTAAAAGTTCAACTAGCGCGAAGTAAACGAGTTCAAATAACGCGAAATAAACGAGTGCGAATAACTTGCATGAAACTATGCAGAGAGTGAACAGTCTTAATTACTCGTATGCGAATTTAAACAGTCTAGGTTGCTAATACACGAAGATCTAAAGAATGTAGATTATGCGGCAAACTTAGGTACTTTGAAGGCGTATGAGAGCAAGTACAGTAGCTAGGGGAGAAGTTACTAGCGCATCACCCTAGTCTACAGTTATGGCGCAAACGCACTATGCGTACATGTATACATCCTTGAAGCGGACCGGAAGTTTCCGTTCTCTCGTTGAACGACGAACTTGCGGTTGTTGAAGACAAGATCTCAGGGGAGGTCCATCAACGTGTCCGGTTGAAGCGCGAATTGGCGGATCACCAATCATGTCATCATCATCGTCGTCGATGATCTCTCGGCGAATCAGCTGCGGTTTGGGCAACGGCTTGAAGAACGCTGTGTTCCGTGTGATGCGCTTTCGACTCTCGACAGTCAGCAATTTAGGATCGAAGTGTGGAGACAACTTATTGGTACGTTGCTGTTTGACTAAGATGGTGTCTCCTGGCTGGATCTCATTTCCCTTTGCATTCCGTCTGTTGTCTGCGTATTCCTTCATTCTTTCTTTCTGGTGAGCGTCTCTCTCCTTGATCTTTTGTCGAATATCTGGCATGTCAGGCAACACTCTGGCTGGTAGCTGTGGTAGTTGTACACGAAAACGTCTACCATACAGCGCTTCAGCTGGCGGAACTCCAGTAGTGGCATGTGGTGTCGTCGGTATTGTCTTAGAAAACGGAAAAGTTCCTGTTTCCAATTCTTTCCTTCAAGATGTGCGATGCGTACGATTTTCAGCAGAGTGTCCATGAACCTTTCGACACCACCATTGGCTTGAGGCCACAATGGGGTGACTTTCCGATGTTTGAATCCGAGGTCAGCTGCAAAGCTTGCAAAATCTTAACCTTGGAACGGAGGTTCATTGTCTGACTTGAATACTTCAGGTATTCCCTGGTGTGAGAAAATACCATCGAGCTTTGGTATGACAGTCTTTGCAGCAGGGGACGAGACTATTTCGACTTCCGGGAAGCAACTATAGTCATCAGTTACAACAAGTAGCATCTCGCTTGATGGTAGTGGTCCATTGAAGTCCACACACAGACACTTCGGCTCAAGGATCGATCCAGTGACCAGCAATAAAAGATGATTTTTCCCGCCAATATATGGCGCCACTATGCTATATACACTATGTGCTTATATAGCGACTGAGCTATATATATATAGTACCATAATGATATATATATAGTATATATATGTATCTATATATTACATATTTATTATATACATATACAAGGCTCGACACTAGCGGTGGCCCGGTGGCCGGGGCCACCAAAACTTGATGTCGGGCCACCAAAAATTTCCAAAAGTTAACATTTGGTGGCCCGATCGGGCCACTAAAATTTCAAAGTGTCTATGTGATAAAAATAATTGTTTCTACGTGCTAATCTCATTCAAAAGAGAGCGAGCAATTCGCGGAGCGAGGGCACACGTACGCACGTGCAGCATAGCGGGCGCATATTTGCAAGCGCCAGCATACATTTGATTACATTGTATCAAGCGAACCAGACAATGCGTCTAGACAATACGCCTGTCTGCAGTGTACTGTGGAGGCGTATATGTAAAATGAACGCGAGCGATGAGAGTTTCGAAGGCAAACAATTGTCATAATAAAAAAATGATGAAATTTCTTCCTTTTTTGATGTATTTTGTTAAAAATGTTAAAAATACGGGACACACATGCGTCCCGGGAAGGGTCGGTACGGACGCGGGACACATGGGCAAAATACGGGACGTCTGGTCACCCCTGATTGCTAGCTAGCTGCACTGGTGCCACTGTTTCGGATCCGAAGCGAAACTGCCAGCGTTCGAAATTCGCGTAGAATAACTGAACTATTCCATGAAGATGATCAGTATTTTAATCCGAAGTGTAATATTAGTGCTTTGTAAGTTTATTTATGCATTTTCTCTGTCTCTTTACGCAACGAAATATTGAACTTAGACATGCTGCTTTTTTTTTGAAATGCATGCGTACCCAGGCTACTTTGTTGATAAATTATGGTTCTACTTTATCTTATTAAATCTGCAAATTTTATTTTTACAGTTTCAAAGCCTGCCAGACATTTTAACTTTCATGAGATTAAATGTATATGTTTTATTTTAACATGAAAAGCCAATGTGTTGTGTGTTTATACAGTTACTTGTTTTAATATCTTGCATGCTCTGTGACTTTGATCTTTGAACGTCCTGAACTGATCGAGATAGCATGTGCACGCGCGTGTTTAGATAAATAATGAGTGAAAGTAGAAAATTGGTATGCAAGATTCTGGTGAAAATTGATGCCGTGGAATAGATAATTCAAATGTACCTCAATCATCATGTCAGGTGTGTCCATTGTGTGGGGTTTGTTTAAAGACTTGTGCAAGTGCATCAGATGGCCCAATTTGCAAATAAATAACAATACGAGATTGAAATAAGATTTATAATGTTTTTCTTTGTTTTTTTTTCGGGCCACCAGATTTCATTTTCGGGCCACCAAAAATTGAAAATCAATGATTTTGGTGGCCCGATCGGCCACTGAAAAAAAAAGTTAGTGTCGAGCCTTGACATATATATATATTAATATATATGTATCTATATATATCATATATATATTATATCTATATATATATATATATATATATATATATATATGTATATACACACATTGACACACATATACTCACATATATTTATATACCCAAGTCGCTGTGACTCCTGCGATTACGACCACGTACTTTCCCTATGCATGCAGGGTTCTCCCTACGTTGCGCAACCGCGCGCCCCGTTTGGAAAACTCCCCCTGTTTGAATCTGTGCGCCCGGTTTGGAAAACTCCCCCCTGTTTGAATCGTTGCGCCCCGTTAAATTCCACCACAATAAAAGTTTGCCAGCGCGGGAATCGATCGTCAAGAATTGCCGTTCGACCAGGACATCCGACGCGTGTATTTTTACCGTACCACGCATGCACTGAAGACAGTACCCAAGTTAACCTGACTGACAATGCCCAGTTAACCTGTCACTAACTGTACCCCGACTCGGCTATCTTATTATACAAGAACCCCAAATACGGTCTATGGTGTGGTGGCGATTTTACGCATTAATTAGTCGTACGGTAAAAATACACGCCCCCCGGACCCCCCTAGTTTCCCCCTCCCCCCTTCCCCTCCCCCTACCCCTCCCCTCCCCCTGTTGAATTTCATCCTGGGGAGAAACCCTGGCATGGAATATAAAAACCTCTGCGACCACACACATTCAGATGTGGATGTTTATGCGGCTCGATGTTATAACGCCGGTGGTCGATTCGGAGATCCATCAGAGCAGGTTTCGTGGGCCCCGCTCATAGGTGCAAGCGCTTGCCGCTCCATGACCTCAAAGGTTTTATGTAGACCTGCTGCCTTCATAGTACAAATGAGCCCAGCACCGAGGCGCTGCAGTTCGCGCAATGCGAACAGTCGGTCCGGGAATAGGAGAATCGACTTGATAGGTGCAGCACCTGCATCGTCGGCCGGATTTTCAGCAGCAGCTTTGCACATGTCGTCGACAAAACCCCAGAGAATATGGAAAATGGAGTTCCTATAACCAACGAGTCGTTGCACACGCTTGACGTTTCCAGTGAGATGCTTGTTGGTATACCTGTCGCCAGTTGGTCTCGAACACAAATGCTGTAATATGTGGAGAATGGCATCAGGTCACGGGTTCACCGCTGCTGACCTGCTCGTTGAAGTTGATACGTG